GCAAGCGTGTGGCAAATGTTGGCATGGTCCGGGCAAGCGCGTGGCATGGTCCGGGCGAGCATGTGGCAAGGTCCGGGGGAGCTCGGGCTCAGCCTCGGGCAAGCGTTGGCAAGGTCCGGGCAACGCCCGCGGCCTGTGTTGGGAAGGTCGTCGTAACTGTTGGCAAGCCCCGGGCAATGCCCGCGGCCAGTGTTGGCAAGGTCCGGGAAAGAGTTGGAAGGTCCGGGCAAAGCCCGTGGCCAGTGTTGGCATGGGGTCGAAGGTCTGGGAAAGCTAGGGGATAACCCCGGGCAAGCGTTTGGCAAGGTCCGGGCAAAGCCCGTGGCCGGTGTTGGAAAGGTACGGGCAAGGGTTGGAAGGTCCGGGAGAGCTCGGGCCAAACCCCGGGCTAGCGCTGGCAAAGGTCCGGGAGAGAGTTGGAAGGTCCGGGCAAAGCCCGTGGCCTGTGTTGGGAAGGTCGTCGCAATTGTTGGCAAGCCCCGGGCGACGGCCGCGGCCAGTGTTGTCATGGTCCGGGCGAGCGTGTGGCAAGGTCCGGGCAAAGCCCGTGGCCGGTGTTGGCATGGTACGGGCATGGGGTGGAAGGTCTGGGAAAGCTAGGGGATAACCCCGGGCAAGCGTTGGCAAGGTCCGGGCAAAGCCCGTGGCCGGTGTTGGCAAGGTACGGGCAAGGGTTGTAAGGTCCGGGAGAGCTGGGGCCAAACCCCGGGCTGGCGCTGGCAAGGTCCGGGCAAAGCCCGTGGCCTGTGTTGGGAAGGTCGTCGCAATTGTTGGCAAGCCCGGGCGACGGCCGCGGCCAGTTTTGGCATGGTCCGGGCGAGCGTGTGGCAAGGTCCGGGCAAAGCCCGTGGCCGGTGCTGGCATGGTACGGGCATGGGGTGGAAGGTCTGGGAAAGCTAGGGGATAACCCCGGGCAAGCGTTGGCAAGGTACGGGCAAGGGTTGGAAGGTCCGGGAGAGCTCGGGCAAACCCCGGGCTAGCGTTGGCAAGGCCCGGGCAAAGCCCGTGGCCTGTGTTGTCAAGGTCATCGCAACTGTTGGCAAGGCACGGGAAAAGCTCGGGCAAAACCTCGAGCAAGCGTGTGGCAAATGCTGGCATGGCCCGGCCAAGGAGGTGCAAGGTCCGGCACGTCCAAGGCAAGTGCGGGCACGTCCGGACCTGCCACGGGCAAGTCCGGGCACGTCCTGGTACGTCCGGCCCCGCCACGGGCAAGTCCCGGCACGTCCAGGGCAAGTCCAGGCACGTCCTGGTGCGTCCGTGGCAGGTCCAGGCACGTCCCGGCACGTCCAGGGCAAGTCCCGGCACGTCCGGGGCAAGTCCTGGCACGGCCTGGTGCGTCCGGACCTGCCACGGGCAAGTCCTGGCACGTCCGGGGCAAGTCCTGGCACGTCCTGGTGCGTCCCGGGCAAGTCCTGGCACGTCCAGACCTGCCACGGGCAAGTCCAGGCGCGTCCCGGCACGTCCTGGCACGTCCAGACCTGCCACGGGCAAGTCCTGGCACGTCCAGACCTGCCACGGGCAAGTCCTGGCGGTGCAAAAAGAGTCCTACCCGTACCAAAATGAAATCTACTCGTTACATTTGTGATTTCTTGGTTTTATTAACTCAAACTCATCCCCCTTGACATGTTTGGGGGTCCGGCTGCCGGAGCCGCCGCCCGTGGCGGCCCGTGGAGGCCGCACTCTTCGGAGCAATCAAAAAATCCTAGAAAATTCTGTGGGTGTCCAAAAATTATGAAACTTGGCAGTTTTCATCCTCATATCATGCCTAAGAAGCCTGCAAAAAATCGCGCGAATCGGAGGTCTCTAGGTCCCTCAAAAGGGGCGTTGTCGTTTGAGCGAAAAGTATGTCTGTTCGTGCCAGAGTGGAAAAAGCCCATATTGCTCTATAGGGGGGGAGCTCCAACCCCCCCCTCCCCAGCCAGGTGGGGCCCGACCTGGCAGCGTGGGTCCCCCATGTATTGATGGGACCCCGGACCCACGCGACCGGCAGGCGGCCGGTGGCAACCGCCGGCGGCGGCCGGCGGCGGCCCTCCGGCGACTTTTCCGGCGAACCCTCAAAATCGAACGTGACGCTCGGCGGGTTGTGTGTGTGTGTTCGAGGGTTCGTTGGCGGGTCGTTTGGAGGGCATTTAGCGCGCGCACGGTCCCTTGGCTTCTTCCGGCGAACCCTTTTATCGATGGTTGGCTTTCTTTCAGGGGTTCGTCGGTTGCTGTTGGGGGGCCGCAAAAATCGTTCTGGAAAGATTTGGTTTGCCCTCCCCCCTTCCCGAAGGGGGGTTGGCAAACCGCCACCCCCTCCTTCCACGCGCCTTCGCGTGCGAGATTCCCCGGTCGCGCTGGTGAACAAGCTTGCTTTGTAGGCATTTGCCCAGGATTGGTTGGTAAGAAAGAGCGAGGGATGGGCGTGCCCCGGTTTGCGAGGGAAATGATGGGCCTTTCTCGTATTTGATTCCCGTTATACGCATGCGGACAGGCATGAGGGTTGGCATTTCATGGGCCT